TATATATATATATGTGTTTTGTTTGCTTAGGGTTAGCTTTTGATTAATTCCAGATTTCAAATTTCTGTCAAGACTGTCGCTGGTGTCCGTTTTCCCTTTAAAGGTTTGAATTCGAGGGATTGGTGGTACTTCGACTGTATTTCTTTCATGAGGTGATGATTATCATCCTCGTACTTCCTTCCACATCCTCCCGCATCGCTTCTTGTCGTCGTACCTCGCTACATCCGCCCGCGATATCACTAGGCTGCTTCCCTCTCCCTTCAAGCGTTGTTGCCGCCCAATCTTTCTTGCTGTCCCAGCCAATCAATAATGCCGCTGCCGCCCAGGGCAGCTAGGGAATACCTCTTTCCTGTTGTTTTGCTGCTATCCACACTAACTCCTCACTGCCACCATCTAGGACAACAACCATACTTGTCTGCATTTTCACATCTCCCCCTCGCTGCCACTAGCATTTCATTCCTGCCGCCATCCCTGCAAGTCGTTCTGATCTACTTAGCCAACCTCCACCACCCCTAGCATACACTTTAGTGATATTTGCTTGTGTCATTTTATGCTTGTTATCATTTATTTCCTGTTTGAAGAGTCATCGTTGTAACGCTATATAAATTCAACAATAATATTTTTTTTCTGTTGTGGTTTGGGTTAACTCCGGTATCACTCAGTGACTCGTATTAGGACAAGAATGTCTTGAATATAACAAAGACAATATTATTTTTCATCTATAATCATTTGTGGGTTTTGGCAATAATGAAAAAAAATTTAAAGAAGGAACTCTTACAATCTGGGTGCAACTAGTTTTGTTACAGCCTACTTAAACTATTCAAAGGGTGATGGAAGCTTGGCAATATGTGGAATCTATGTTCACTTCCACATAATGGCTTTGTTATGCTTGGTTGAAGAAAGCTAAAGGGAAAGAAGTGAGGATGATTTTCTTAACAAAATGTTTTATTTGTGTGTTAACTTTGCTATAACAACATTAAACCATTGGTTTAAATTTTATGAAGATGGATTTGAAAAAATAGCTACTTATGAGCCTTATTTTAAATGTAGTGGCTGAGGCTAATGAGTCGGTAGCCCAAAATTTGTGGGGAGACGAGTCTAGTTGCAAAAATATGAGAAATATTGTTGATGAGAAGTTGGAGTAGCTTCATTTAGTTTCATCATTATTTGCATGCCACAGTATATTGCCTTAATCCACGGTTATAATATGTTGAGAATAAGTCGACTGTTACTGAGATCAAATTAGGTTTATATTATTGCATGGTTGGGTTGATAGTTGATTCAACTGAGCATGGGAAATAGATAATGAGGGCATGCACATTGGATGATTAAACTTGCACCCATAAGGTGGATAATAAAGTTAAGGTGAGTTGGACTAGAGGACTTCAAAGATTACCGTGGATAACAAAATTAAGATGTTGTGGATGAAAAGAAAAGACTTCAAAGCAATTTAAGTGAAATGGATTAAAAAAAGAATTAATAAATGAAGGGAGGGAGGGTAGAGAGTCCTTTGTATATTCACTTTAATGCAATTGGTTGAGGCATTAGATTTTTTCACTTTCATAAGATTCAAGTATATTGTGGCATAAACATGAATTTAAAGTCGATGTAACAAAATTAGGAGCTTTAATTTGAAATAGATGATTATATAAATGGGCTTATCAGTTTAGCAATTGATAGGTAAATTCAGTGGAAAGTAATGGAATAGAGGGGGTACTAGTTTAACTACTACGATGAATAAATAAAATTTACATGGAATGATTAAGATGAAAATTAGAAGACCAAAGATAACAGGCACAGAATGCATAAGAGTTTTCATATTTAGGATAAGGTTGTTTCAAATTTTTATAATGATGATAGATGAGATCTCTTGTAAAGTGAAAATTAGTATAATGAATGAGTTAGTAGGGAATCATGTTCACTAGAATAAAGATTTTCATGAATACAAGTTTTGTGAAATTGATAATACTCGATGTTATAAGATCTATTATTTTGTGTTTGTGAAGGTTTAAGTAATTGAGATCTTGTATATGAAAGAAAATGAAGACATAAATGAAGTCATAAGATATTGAGTTAAAACTAGTTTATTAAAATGAAGTAGACCCTTACAGAAACTTTAAGGGTAGATTTTACGAACTATAAGTAGACCAATTATTGCTATATATTTGGCAATGAAGTTATAAATATCGAAGTACATGATAAAACTATGTAGGATTGTAGAATGCTATATTCAAGGGATGGTGGGAATAGTACCAATATATGTCTAGTTAATGAAAAATAAATTTAGGCTGTTTTGTCAATTCCAATAATGGCTAAAATATGCATAAATATAGTCGGTATAGAAAATTACCTTCTAAATGAAATTTGATAGAACAAAGGGAACAATTCTGAAAGTACTTTAGAAAATCTGTTGTAGAACCTCATAATACTCAGCAAAAATTAACGTTGATGTTGGGATTCACATGCCCACCCAAAATGGTAGGAAATATGACTGTTGTCAGCGAGGAAACACCGGAGGTAACCAGATTTCTCTAAATTAGCCACTATACTGGGTTCGTTGAGCTGGGATAGTTTTGTAGAACTAGCTAATTGAAGCTGCCTTTTAGTTTAATCTTAGTTCTTATTTACAAATCAATTAGCATGTTGAGTTTTCTAGGCCTCTTTTATATTTGTCACCAGTTTTAAATGGTTGAACTTATCAAAGCTTGCATATGATTTCTATTTATCTTGCAATACGTTTATTACCAATACATGTGCATTATTTGTGTTGAATATTTTGCTTTTCCTTGATCAATATTTAGAACTGATTTATATGATGTTGAGGGTAGGTGAAATGCAGGCGACGTTTGTGGATTGCTCTACTTGTTCTTGTTGAACTTCAAAACTGTGTTAAGGACTCACATCTATATATACATTATTTTTTTCTCCCCATTTTTTTTTCCGATTTTTTCTACTGTATTATCCCGCATTAAGAAAATAATATAAGAAAAGAAGAACCATCTCATGAACAAATTTCAGGCTGTCACTCCCGCATTAAGAAAATAATATAAGAAAAGAAGAACATTGTCTTCCAATTTCTACCATCTCATGAACAAATTTCAGGCTGTCACCTGAAGTCATAATGTTGAATTGAACTAATTGTTTCCTTGGTAACTGTCGTATCTTATTATTATCATTCCACTGGATGTTCATACTGTTCTCTGCCAATGGAGAAATGCTATTTTGATTAATTTAATTCTGGAAGAATACCTCATGGGAATACTGTTACGAATCTATAAAATAGGCTCCAAAGTATTTTAAGTTAGGCAATCATGGAGCCAAGTTTGAGATTTCACTACATGCTGGGTGTCCATGGGTTCATAATATCTTGATACAGAACGAATGCAAAACAGTTCAGACAAGCTCTGTTTTCGCTTTGTTGGTTCTACGTGATGAATTATTTTGCTCATCTTAGATTAATGTATTAAGTATTAAAACTTCATCCTAGGGTTGAATTTCTAATGATTTTTTTTTTTTTTGAAATACGGAGTTTTTTTAATTTTGTCCAATTATGATTGCCACCAGTGTAGTGTTGAAGAAAACATTAGGTTACTCCATTCATATGAAGTCCCTGATTTTTGTGAAACAGATTGGTTCAAATTTGTGATTAGCATAGAAATGAAAGTTATTAAATTTAATTTAAAAGGAAAATGAAGTACCTTTTAATTTGGTGTGTTTTAAACTGTACATTTATGTGTTGGAAGTCATGAAAAACAAGAATGAATTTTAGCATTGTAGAAAAGCTCTGCATACTTTTTGGTTCATGAAAACGGTGAAAAAACGAGGAAGCTTCAACATTTTAAAAGTAGCCTGAACATCCAAGCACTTGTATATAAACATTAGTTGAAGTGCAGTAACCCGTGAAAACACCAAATTATGACAAATTTCATACGTTGTTACCAAAATAATAATAATAATAAGAATAATAATAATAATAGCAATAATAATAATAATAATAATAATAATAATAATAATAATAATAATAATAATAATAATAATAAGAAAATAATAACAACAACAATAATAATAGTAATAAAACAACAGCAATAATAATAATAATAACATAATAATAATAATAATAAGAAGAAGAATAATAAAGTTAACGCTTGGTGATCGGTCACCCAAGAGATTTTGTGATCTCCTCGGAAACTTATTTTGGTGAGTAGGAATTTTCATTTCGTTGTACTTCTTTGATGTAAATTTTGTGTAATTTGTGTTAGTAGTGTTATCTACTATTAAGTTCTAAAATAAAATAAAAAATAGTTTGTCGTAACTCTTTGTTATGTTATTTTAAGTGATAATCCCAAGATTTCTATTTTCTGGAAAAGTTGTACAAGTTCAATAATTTGTCAAAAATCACCCATCAAATGATCGCTAAAAATTTTGAATTTGGTATCATTCTGTTCTTCTAATTTCCATTTCCAAAAAAAAGAATCTATAATATTATATTAAAATTTTTGTAGAGAAGTTTGACCAAAGAAAGCCTTAACTTTCTACTTGTGTTTTGTGTCCCTATGTTTCTATGTTTGAAATCCCCATATCCATATTTCCATTGGTCCAAACCCTAAAAAACACTCATGATCAATACTTGAGTGTTTCTAATACTATCTTCAATTTAAATTACTAAATTTTTATACCTCAACAAAAGGATATAGCCAATTTTCCGATCTAGGTAACCTTTAGACAGAATAGACCAATATGTAGTATATGTGTGTATATTCATATCAAATCAATCACAAAACTTACCAAGATTTTCAGATCAGTAATTAACACCATATCTTATAATTCAAGTGTTTTTTTTTTTGTATAATTTTTAGGTCTATAGAGAAATTTCTAAGTGTTTGATGTGAGACTTTTAGATTCTGGACAAAATCTGAAATAAACCCTAAGTCTACTTATACTACTACCAATTGAGCTCCTCTATAAAAATTTGATCTAATGAACCTTGATGTCAATTGAGCCCACTAAGATCACTTTGATCCTCTCCAAACAACCATCATCTCACGACTTCCTAATCACAAATACTAAAAATCATACCATCAATGATAAATTTGTTAAAGTCAACACAAATCCTAATCAACAGCCTTATTGGCCATGATCACACAATTTAACACCACTGTATTGATCTCAATGGCAAGTGTTCTAATATATTCTCTCAATGAATTATAAAGCATTTTTTTAAACTTTGCCAAACTAAGAAAATAATTGTGTATGTAAAAAGAAAACACAGTTAAATCTTTACAAATTTATATGCTATTTTTAAAATGATTCATTATACCCTTCTATGCGTTTAATTGTTTATTTATTTTGTAATTATTTAAAATAAATTCTAATTTAAAGGCCATGCAAAATGAACATGCCCTAGCCTACAAGAAGTTGGATATATATAATAATTTACAAGTGACTGTTGAACTTGTTAAAAAAAAAATTGAAATGATACAACAGATAATAAAAATGAAACATATGTTTAATCATCGTCAATAAATATATTTAGCAATCTAACATATAAGCCCTTTGAAAGAACAACACAAAAAATCTTGACTTGAGATCCTTATTAACTATTATTCATTCCCACTTTTATGGTAATTTCATGGTGAGAATTATTGCATTGAAACAATACAATTCACATCGATTTGGATGATTGGGATTTAGTTTCAGTCAAAATAATTTTGAAAACATGATTAAATCAATACAAATCACCTAAAATAAATCATATGAATTGAATGGAGCATTTATAATTTTCAAGATAATTGGGAGATATCCAAGTTCCATAAAAATGCTACACTCCATTAAGACTTTATAATCATTCCACTAAGTCAACATATCTTTACTTAATTATGTAATTGAATAAACTTGAATAAAATTCTTAAAACTTGATATAAAAAAGATTTGATTAGTTATCCACTAGTAAACACACACATCTTTTGTTTAATAACTCATTAAATTTAATTAAATTCTCATTACTTAGGGAATTTACTTTTGGATTCTCACAATGCATCTACTAGAACAAATTTTGCTATTATATTTTTATCTGTGAAAACATTCTCCAAAATACTACTTAAATCAACATACCCCTCACCCCTCCCCCACCCCCTCCATAAATAAATAAATAAGAATAAAATTATAATGGTAATATTTGTTCTCATAGTTGTAAATAAGAAAGTTGGTAAATTATGAAAGTTGAAACCTCAACTTTGATTCAAATCAAAGGTATGATGGAGCAACGATGAGGATGGGACGAAAGAGAAGCTAATGAAAAGCTAATGACCATGGGTGAGCGAATCCATGATAAAGCATTCCTTGACAACTTTACGTGTTGTAGGTCAAAGCAAATGATGCAAAAGGTAAGGACCAAATGTCGAAGTGCATTCAATTTGTGGGTGAAAATAAAGGATCACTTGAAGGAAAGGAAATGGAGAAAAGCATTTACCATGTCAAAGTGCATTCAATCATAGCATCATCAACACCGAGGATCATCAATTCTCATATTCCTCTTCACCCCGAATGAAGCACCACTATGTCAACCTCAAAATAAGATAAAACATACTAACCTGTTCTAGAACAATGCTAACAACCAACAACCACAACCTACAATTCCTCTCCAAATGGCCCAAATGGAAAAAAGAGGTTCATGATTCAACAATTTAACAAAGGCTAAACCGATCATTAAAAATTGCTAAAATTATTTTAAGATTTTAATGATATAATAATGATTAATTATGGAAATTTTATCAATTTAATGCATAATATTTTAATTCATGGCACCACTCTTGAGCATTTTAAATATAATTATAAATCAAAAACTTTGAGACATGTTGTTTAATTTTTTTTAAAATCAAATTATTTTATTCTTAGTCATTCAAATAGGATTATAAAACCAAAAAAAAAAAAAATTATCTAAATTAAAACCAGATGGTTCAAAAAAAAAAATTTGAATTGCTCGTTTTATTAACTCAACCTCCAATTCATGATAGTTATATACAAAAAGTAATTTTTGACATTAATTAAATCAAACAAAAGATTGGTTTATGATTGAACCAACCAAACCTATCAGTCTAGTCCTATTTCAAAATCATGATCTTGTCCACAAATTATTGCACCCTCATCATCATAGGACACATCTCATTGGCTTAAACATGATTAAATTTTAAGCTTAACCCTAATTTGAGCAAAGAATCAAGCTAAGATAAAGTTTAAAATATATATATTTTCTTAAAAAAAGTTTTAACTAATTCACACAAGCTTTGAAAGCCTTGTAACTCCAATGAGCAATCAAAGAATACATGAGATTATCCTTAATTCAATGCATTTTTAGCCCA